CCAGCCCAATGGTACACTGTTCAAACCCCCAGCTGTTCAGCAGGAGAAGGATGGGCAGTCTCCTCCTGGGCATTTTACTGCCTCTGAAAGCCCGCTGGAGGGTCGGTTCCAACTTGATGGTACACAACAGTAACAATTTATGAGAATACACCTTAAAGCTTGAGAATGCACTTTGATAGTAATGAATTAAATGGATTTTGGAGTACTAACATAAGAGAGTTGGACAATGACCAAGGAGGATAGAAGGAGAATTGATGCCTTTGAGCTGTGGTGCTGGAGAAGAGTATTGAGAATACCATGGACTGCTAGGAAAACAAACAGATTTGTCCTGGAAAGGGTTAAACCGGGTGGCTCCTTGGAGGCAAGGATTCTGAGGCTCCATCTAATATACTTTGGACATGTAGTGAGGAGAGACCGGTCCTTGGAGAAGGACATCATGCTTGGGAAGGTGGAGGGACGGCGCAGGAGGGGAAGGCCCTCTATGAGGTGGATTGATTCAGTGACTAGGATAATTGGGATGGTAGTGTCAGAGACAGTGCAATTGGCACAGGACAGAGCAGAGTGTAGGGCTGTTGTACATAGGGTCACTATGAGTGGCAAGCGACTCAACGGCACATAACAACAACAACAACGTAAGAGAGGAAGACCCTTGAAGAGTTGGATTGATTCAGTGACTGGGATAATGGAGGTGGGGATGTCAGAGACAATAGGATTAGCACAGTATAGAGCAAGATTTAGGGCTATTGTATGTAGGGTCACTATGAGTTGTAGGTGACTTGATGGCACATAACAACAACAACAACAACAACAACACTATAGTTTCTTTTAGTGTTCCTAGGTTGTACTTAAAGAATGTCAACATGGCTAACTTCCAAATGAGACAAGTATCTGATTGAGTCATGGCACATCTTTAGCAGTGAAACATTTTTGAACAGCTGCCACTCAAAAAAGAATTTAAATACGGATCTACTCTCCATATATTGTAACTCACGAGTTAAATGCAGATACTGCTGCCAATTTGTAAGTAACTTTTGCTGGTTAGAATTCAGTCAATGCCAACTCATGGCAGTCATGTGTACAACAGAAGGGAATCTGCCCATTCTGTGCCATCCCCATGACTGCTGAGATGTCCGAGTCCATTGTGTGGCCATGTGTTAAGTCTGTCTCACTAGGGGTTTCCCTCATTTTTTGCTGACTCTACCAACCCAATGTCTTCTTCAAGATACTGTTCTTTCCTGATGAGGTATCCAGAGTAAGCAACTCAAAGTCTTGCCATTTTTGCTCTAAGGACCCTTCTGGTGGTATTTCTGTTGTTATTATTGTTGTTGATTTCCTTCGAGTCGAGCACGACTCATACCAACCCTATGAACAAAAGGCCTGAAGCCTTTTTATAACTATCAATATTTATCAAAGTTCATAGAGTTTCTGGGCATAATTTTAATTTTTAAAGTATGAGTAGAATTTCTAATATATCCTTTCCACCCTTAGTAGAACGTCTTACATTCTAGAGTTTATGTACTCCTGTTGGAGACTGTTGATGGTGTTGATATGATTACAAATAGATGTTGTTGTTGTTGTTATGTGCCGTCGAGTTGCTTGCAACTCATAGCGACCCTATGTTCAACAGCCCTAAACTCCGCTCTGTCCTGTGGCAATCGCACTGTCTCTGGCACTCCCATCCCAATTATCCCAGTCACTGAATCAATCCACCTCTCAGGGCCTTCCTCTCCTGCGCTGTCCCTCCACCCTCCCAAGCATGATATCCCTCTCCAGGGACCGTTCCCTCCTCACAACATGTCCAAAGTAAGTTAGACGGAGCCTCAGAATCTTTGCCTCCAAGGAGCCACCCAGTTTAACCCTCTCCAGGACAAATCTGTTTGTTTTCCTAGCAGTCTCAATACTCTTCTCCAGCACCACAGCTCAAAGGCATCAATTCTCCTTCTATCCTGCCTGATCATTGTCCAACTCTCTGATGCATAACAAGTGATTGCGAAGACCATAGCCTGTATCAGACAAACACAAATGGTTACCTCTGCCAATTCACTAGTTATCTTTCTATAGCTGATGTATTTCCCTGACTTGGCTCTGGGATTGGCTTAGTCTTCTTAGATCTTACTGATCCCCCCAAATAGTTTTCAGGACACATGTTATGAGGAGCCTCCACTCTGGTTTCCATGGCCCAACCTCTAAAAATACTCCATTAAATTGAATTTAATTACATTTAAAGCCAATTAAATGTTCAGTTCCTCAGTAAAATCAATGGTATTTCAATTTCTTAATATGCATATATGGCTATGGCATTGAATAGCACATATATAGAACACTCCATCATCACAGAAATTTCTAATGGATAATTTATTGTTAGAGAGCCCTGGAAGCTGCACTGCAGTCCTGAAGGTACGTGGTTTGGGGCCACCAGCTGCTCTGTGGGAGAAGGATGGGCCATCTCCTCATGCAATTCAGCTAGTGTTGGTCTTAACATACACAACAACTATGTACCATCAAGTTGGAACCAACCCATAGCTGACCCGCCAGTGAGTTTTCAGAGACAGTAAATCACTTGGGAGGAGATTGCCCAACTTTCTCCTGTGGAACAGCTGGTGGATTTGAACCACATTCCTTTGGGTTGGCAGCACAGCTCCTTACCATTTGACCACCAGAGCACCAAAAGATCATGGTGCTCTAGAAATTTGGCCTGAACTATCCTCTTCCTGCCCTTTATAACATGCATTACTTGTAGCCACTCTGGCTTGGTTAGGATTTCATAGGTGATTCCATGTAGTTGGAGCTTCATAAACTGGAGGTAGGCAGGGAAGTGAGTTCATAGGCGAATACCCTAAAAGATCAAGAAACTGAACAGAAATAAGCAGAGGTAAGAACAAAAGTGCTGAAATGGTTAGACTGGAAGGAAGAAGGCTGAAGGGAGTCATTATAATGGTCTATAAATACATTAAAAAGATAATGTAAAGGAGACATTATTCCCATTAGTCAGCTTAGATCAAGCCAGAAACATTAAGCTCAAGTTCCTCCAGAAAGGAAAACGTAGGTTATTTAAGGCAAGAGAGGGCAGGGGGAAGGGCTTACAGCGCCTGCATCTAACAACAGGCCGGAGCCAGACAAGTTGCCAAAGAACCTGAAGGAATCCTCTTTGCTCAGTCCACTCAAGACTTAGCTTTTGTCCTATTTATAGAGGATGGTTTTTTATAATAATGAAATCAATTCTGCTAAGAGACAGTTGGATTGATTACCAATCCTCTCCAGGTTCTTTCCAAATGGAATAATTTAGAATAATCTCTGTGGATGGTCTCTCGACACGTGCCCTTTATAAAAATAGCGACTCTTCCTATTTGAACTAGCTTGCGGCCCCCTCCACCCAGAAGCCTTTTCCTCCTGTTCCCGTCTCAGTCTGCACCCCACCTGCCTCTAGCTCCCCTTCCCTGGGTCCCAGCCTGGTCTCAGGTCTGTGGTATCAGTCAGATTCTCCTTGTTAGGTCAGAGTACTCAGCCTTGAATACTATTGGTTTTAGTCTTAGCAATTTGCTTCTCATTTTTTAACAAGGACTCTGCAAGTGTTCTTCATAGGATCCCAAATTTTTTAAATGTTAATTGATATTGGCTTGCTTACAAAGTTTGTATACACTATGTGTTCACACTCATTCTTCATTCACACTGTGTTTCATACAATCATTCCTGTGCATTATGTTTTATGAAGTTAGTCATCATTGGACTATGCCCATCATTACCCGGTCTTTTCAGGTCCCCCCCAGATCTTTCCCATTTCTTTTACCCCTTTCTTCACCCACCAAATTGTGCAATCATATGATTTTGCCCTTACCCATTTCTGCTCCCACCCCTCCCCTGCCATGGGTTCTCATACATATTTTATTTGTTTTCTTCTATTTTTACAATTACAGTATTATACAATATTTATCTTTATGAGGCTGAGTTCGCTCAGTGTAATGCTCTCCAGTCTCTCCCAAGTTATGTAGTTTTTTTAAAAATTGTTGCTCCTGAGTGCTGCCTAGTATTTCATTGTGGGAATGTACCGCAGTTTCTCAATCCATTTGGTTGTGGTTGGACATTTAGGCTGTTTCCATGTTCTTGCGATTGTCAATAATGCTGCTGTGAACATTGGTGTACCAATCTCCTTTTGTATCTCAGTTCTAATTTCCTTGGGTGTATTCCTAATAGTGGAATAGTTGGGTCATACGGAGTTTCTATGCTCACCTTTTCGAGGAAACGTCAAACTGCTTTCCTGAGTGTTTGTGCCATTTTACAATCCTACCAACAGCACATGAGCCTTTCCACCTCTCCAACATTTACTGCTTGATGCCCATAGGACCCCAATTAAGCAATAGATAGCTTGTGCAGATCTAAAGAACTTCGGAAGTGTGTGTGTGTGTGTGTCAAAGACCTGTGTAGAATACAGAGTGGAAATACTGTGGTAGAAAGCCCTTCGACCTATTTTCAAATAGATCTTATTTATCTTTTTACATTTTTCTTGTATTTTAAATGGCTTCTAGTAATAAATGATGTTTGTTTAAGGTTACACTACAAGTTGGTTGAAAATCCCTGTATATGGTAAGTACGTGTTTCTGTGGGACTGTTGGAATATGAAAGTTGATGGATGATGAATTAGTTATTCTTATTGAGCCAAGGTAAAGATGTAGCTGACTGATCTTTGGGAGAAAACAAATATTTTCTAAAAGAGGAAGATGATTATAAGTTAGAAGTCCCCAAGTTCACAGTGTTTGAGTTATAATGAGGTCTTCTGTCCTGTTTAGATCAACAGTAGGAGGGCACAATTAATTGTGCCTTTTCCCAATTCTCTGTGCCTTCAGCAAATACCTAATGAGATTTAAACAGCCACCTGGTCTACAAGTAGATGCTTTAATCAAAGCCGTTTCCAGTGGCTAACTCACCCTAGGAACTTAGGAAACATCAGCCTTAGAAGAGGAAAAGGCTGCTAAGGAAGTTCATTTTCTCCCCCTCTCTTCCAGAAACAAGGACAGAATACCCCCGGAAGATACTTTCTCTGTTGCCAAACCATCCATCCCTCGTTTCACTGGGGGCGGATTTCCTCTCAGCAAGCCCACCAAGGTCAAGTCCTAACCTGTGGCCCCGGGCTGGACACAGCAGAACAAGTCGTGCAATTTGCTCTGGAACGTTTTAGAAGAATCATTTTTAAAATCTTTTGGATCATAGATATTTTTTTTTTTAAAAAAGAAAAATCAGTGCTCATATCCAAGCATGGAAAGAAACACAGAATTATCATAGTCATGTCCATATATATAGGTGACCAAACATTACTCAGTTCTTATGGATATTAACATTATAATTCTATCTGTTTGATTAGGCTGACCTACTGCTTGAAGCAGATCTTTTGTTACCTCCATCCTGATTGATTTGAAATAGACCAGATCTAGACACTCCTTATGGACTAAGCTTTGGACATTAATGTCTCTATTACAGACATCGGGGCACTAGAGGCTCAATATTTACAAATGTTTTTGAAATGCGATGCATCCATGGAACGCGACTGATAAGAAACTGTTTTCATTATTCCTTATTAACAAGTTACTGCATGAGATGAGAAAGAACACACTCTCCAACATTTAAGATGCATTTTGAGAATGATTTCTGTGTGAACTTTCCATTCAGGCCTGCGGTAAGAAAATATGTTTTAAAAAAGACACACTAATAAATATTTCCTCTTTAAAAAGGAAAAAGAACTTTTGTAGAGAGTTTGCTCTTTGCTTTAGAATTTAAGTAAAGTTTAAATTAGGAGAAATGTTTAACATAGAGTTTGATTCAGAGGGAGCGAGTCTATAAAACTAGCAGTTGGAGCCGGTATGTTCCAAAGGCCAGAATTCAGAAACTTTGCATCTGTTTTCTTTTTGTTGAAGTCCCAGTTATTTGGGCATCACTCAGTAATCTCTCATTAAGAATGTTTGTTCAGTGATATTATGGGAAGGCATTCTGGCCATATTTCTCTTTCTCTCTATCTCTCCCCCCCTCTCCCTCTCCCTCTGTCTGTTTTTCTCTCCCTCTCCCTCCCTCGCTTCCATTCTCTCACAGTAACTCAAACTACAGCTTCTAAAATTTATTGAGGCGTAAACAGCTCAGGTGTGAACCAAGCCAACCTAAGTGGATTGTTAAGACATTCTAGTGCACTAGCATGAGAAGGATGGGCAGTCTCCTCCTGTGCGATTAACTGCCTCTGAAAACTCCCTGGAGGGTCGGTTATGGGTCGGTCCTAACTCCACAGGACACAGCAAGTGTGCTGAGGGACCATACTTCCCCCTGTGACAAGCAGAGTGATAAGGACCCAAGGTGCTGTCTCACTTCATTCAGGGTGGAAAAACTTCGGAGGAGATCTTGGATGCTCTTCTACCCCTCAGTACACCACAGACCAGTGTCCTGTCTTAGGTTGGGATTGCTAGAAGCATCCTTAAGATGATGATGGCCATGGAAGTTATTAGTTAGGAAGTGAGCCCAGGAAAATGCACGAAAGAATGGACCATGGGCTAGAGAAGGGAAGGAAGTGAGACAAAGGTGCTCTGCTCAGTCAGGTTTTGGGGAGGGAAGCTTTGGCTTCGTCCTGTAGGGGGACTGTAGGTACGTCTCACAGGCGTTCCCATTCAGAGTGAGGAAACAGCTGTTAGGTACCATCCAGTCCACTAGGACTCATAGCCACCTGTGACATCCAGTCCACTAGGACTCATAGCCACCTGTGACAACAGATCCGAAGCTTGCCCTAACTTGCAGGAACTTGTTGTTTTATACTGTCAAGTCACAACTGACTCAGGGCTGACCCTCCAGTGTGTTTTCAGAGGCAGTAAATCATGTGGGAGGAGATTGCCCATCTTTCTCCATCCTTCACCCTCTGAGCAGCTGGTGGATTTGAACAGTAAAAACTAGGGTTTGTGTAATCCCCCTATGCTGTCCTCATGGGCCAGTGACGGCTTTGGAGCGGCACTTCTGGTTCTCCTTGCCAGCAGGCAAAGCAGGTTTTGGCAACCTGGGACGAAAGGGCTGTAGCTGCAGACTGCTGGGAATGGTTGTGGGTTCAGGGGAAATAAGCAGTGGCGTGTTCTGCTGCACCTTCCCCAAATGGCCTGACACGAGAACTCTTACAAATCGGAATCATACTCCGCTGGAATAGCTGGCCGCCCTTTGGAGAGCTGTAGCCATCAGCTGTTTGGACACCATGCTGGGAGGATGGAGTTACGGATATGTGCCCTAGATATTTACCTTGTTGTCAGATACCATTGAATCAATTCCAACTAGTAGTGACTGTGTATAACTAACCAAACTGCTGCTTTGTCCTGCGCTGTCCCCACAATCTCTGACGCTCTTGAGCTTGACCCATTGCTGTAGCCTTTGTGCTAACCTATCATATTGAGGGTCTTCTGTTATTATTTCCTGCTGACTCTTTACCAAGCATAATGCCTTTCTCCAATATTTAAAATCTAAAGAATTACATTGGGCTGTTTTCATTTCTTATGATTACTGATCATATCTTCCTCCATGTTGTTGTTGTTGTTGTTGTTGTGTACCATTGAGTCAGCCCCAACCCGTAACCGTCCATCCGGCGTGTTTTCAGAGGCAGTTAATCACACAGGAGGGAATTGCCCACCCTTTTCCTTAGAGCAGCAGGTGGACTTGAGCTGCCTGCCTTTGTGATTACAGTGCAGCTTCTTGCCACGTCTAGGCTACCAGAGTTCCCTTTTCTCCCACAGACACCATATTACAATTAGAACAAAATATTTTGCACATGTCAATTTTACAACTTTCTTATCCTTCTTAGAACATTTTGAGGTATAGTTAGTGCCAGCTTCCTTTCTGAATCCTGGAGTAGTTTTTCACGAGATTCTCCAGGGACGTGTGGGGTCCATGACCCCAGGTTCTGGAGACATATCAGGCTTTGCTCATCACAACAATGGGTTATAAAGAGGGTCACATGATTTCACACATGTAAAGTGGTTAGAACAAGTCCAGGCATATAGTAATCATTTTTAAAACCCCAAATAACCGTTGTTAAAATTAGAGAAGAAAGGTAACACGTGTTTTGATCTTGGAAAATGAAAGCTGTCCCATAGCATTGATTTCTTTTATCAGCTGCAAAGCTGAGTGGAATCTGCGTGTGGAGAATGGACGGCAGTCTTGGCGTAAAGATGGATTTGGTGAAGTTATTTGTAATTGACTGTGTTGGAGACAGGCCACACTGGGAGCTTCGTAGGTGCTTCCGCACATACATGCAATAGTTGTGTTCTGGGGACTGTTTGACCTTTCACCTCGCACAATCGGTTTCTGTTTCTCCCTATTCGCCAGAGGAGGAGACTCCCCCCCACCCCCCTCTCCCCCAGTGACTTAAGCTGCCATCCTCTTCCTCTTTTACTCCATGCAGAGCGCTGTCATCTGTCTTTGCTGCTGGCAGTGGTCCCAGGAGACAGGATCGTGGAGGGCTTGGGGAGCGGACACAGCGCCTCTACACACTTGGGTTTAGTCAGAGGAGGAAGAAACTAAGGCTTAGACATGGTGGAAGACAGTGCTGCTGCCTCTCATTCACTCACCATCCTGACAACCAGGATAACAATCAGGCAATAACTGCTTACGTGCACGTGTTACCGCCAGAGTCAAGTACAAAACTATGTGGTTTAAAACAGAGATTTGCAGATCGTTACAGGCAACTGTGAACTCGCAGTGTGCCACGGTGCTTTTAAACACACACATTTGAGATGCAGTTCCAAGCAACGTTAGGAGACTGTGCAGATTTGCATGATACTACCCTGGGGCTTTAGGTTTTCAAAAGGAGTCATGCTGCTAAACCATCCTCTGGCTCCTCGCTGATGAGGTCCTCGTGTGATTTTCTGTCGATAAAAATAGGATAAAGGAGAATCCCTGGTCATTATTTGCTGGCCAGAGCGTCTCAGCAGCTGCTTCTGTTGTTGGGTGCCTGGAGTCGAGTATGACTCACTGCAGCCCCGGGAGCAACATCCCTGAATCTCTCCTATCCTGTGCCGTCCTCACCAGCTCTAGAATACATGAGCCCATTCATTGCTGCAGCTGCTGCGTCAGTCCATCTTGATGAGGGTTTTCCTTCTCCTTCACCGACCCTCCACCCTTCCAGGCATGCTATCCTCTCCAAGGAATAGCTTCTCCTAGAGACAAGTCCAAAGCTTTGTTATCCTTGTCTCCAAGGAGCGGTTTGGCTACACCCTTTCCAAGATAAACCTGTTCGTTCTTTGGGCAGTCCATCAGACGCTCAGTACTCCTATACAACAACCCAAAGGCATCAGTTCTTCTTCTGTCATCTTTATTCATTGTCCAGCTCTCAGATGCATAGCAAGTGATTGCAAAGAGACCATGATCTGAGTGAGGTGCATGTTAGTCTTCAAACTGACATCACTGCTCTTCAGTATTTTGGGGAGATCCCTAACAGCAGACTTGCCTGAAGCAATATGTCTCTTTAGCTCCTGACTGCTACTACCAAGGGTATTGCTTGTGGATAGGAAATCATTAACAGTTTCAGTCCTTTCTCCATCTATCATGACACTGCCCACTAGTCAGGCATTAATTGTGCCCTCCTCTGCATTGCTCAGAGCAACATTTTGTTACTATGATAAGCTCCAGAGGTTGTGGTAGCCATGGTAGCCATGTGAGGCAGGCAGCAACACTCGTCAAAGTCTGTGATTTTGTTATAAAAACACATTAAAAATACATATAAAAATACAGGGTTTGATAATTATTGTTTGATTTCCTGACTTGCTCAACTATATTCTGCAGCTCAGCCTAGGTCATGATATCCATTGGAAAATACTGTATAATGAATTTTGTACAGTTATGACATTTCAGAGAGCCCAGGTGATAGGAGGGAAGATCCCCCCCCCATTGAACATACTCAATTATATGGAAATCAAGTTGGGATAGGAGCAAGAGGGAATGCTTTAAAATATTAAAGTGTTAAAATAATTTAACATAGGTGTTTCCGTGTTTTCTTTCTACTAGATGGGAAATATTTTTATAGCATTATCCATTTTTAACTTCTAATTCAATGCTGTTTTAGTATACCATTTCTTATATCTATTATTTAAGCATTCTGTTAGGGG